TTTTATTTAAATTTTATTTTATTTTATTTAAAAAATATAAGAAAAAAGAAAGGAAGCCAAAAATCAGCAAAAGTAATAGCTTTAGAAATGATCTTATATAATTGCTGATAAAAATAAAATACTGTCTCCTGTAATTAAGAATGTAGAAGTTTTTATCTTCCTATATGCACATAATCTAGTTTTATTTCTTCTTTTAGGATTAACTTAATAACCATATGGAATCCTTTGGCATTTTTACAGAGAATATGGTACTTGCCAAATATAGCCCAAGGAAGAGGATCAAGAAATTTGCCATCTTAAACATCTTGACAATTTTTTCTGGAGCCTTATAAAGACATAATGATGTTCAAAATGCAAAACATAGGAATGCTTTAATGACATTGTGATTAATCTATATAATAAAATGTAACATAAAATAATATAGCATAACATAATAATATAGGTTTTTGAATCAGCAATAACTCTTTGTTAATGAAGTAATCACACAAATGTAATTTTTGTTTCATAATGAAGAAAATCTTTGAGATCATGCAAGATTTTTTTTCATGAGATTCACTTATGCAGCTTATTGTCACATCCAAATAGGCTATAGTTTGAGTACTATGCTCTACTTATGTAATTGATGTTTGTGTAGTTGATATTTATACCTCAATGCTTAGCTTGATAATGTGTTGGAAAATCCTTCTTGAATTTTCAAATTGATTATGGTTATTCAGGGGCCCCTATCTTGATTGTTAGGGACTTTGGGATTATGGAAGACTAATTTTGCAAATATTTGTAGAAGTAATGTAACTGCAATTTCCATTTATATTTGCCAGATCTGCCAAACAGCAGGTACAATGATTTACACTTGGACGTTCTCAACAATTTATTGTCAGTTCTTACCACTTTGATCCTTTCCTCCTTGATTTTGGTCCAAAACATTACCATTTCTCTTAGATGTTTCCCTATTTTCTAATACTTCTATGCAACAATGGTACCTTGGTACTCATCCTTAATTAGTTCTGGGAGGTGGGATGAGTACCAAAAACGATGAGTACCAAACAATTTTTTCTATAAGGAATAGCAAGTGACAAGGCAGCTGACACCGACAAATTCTACTTGTGTGTTGAGTACCAAACAAACTATGAGTACTGGGACAAAATGTTCACATCAAAATGCTTTTAGTAGCAAATTTGATGAGTTTCAAAGCAACTGAGTACCAGCGTACCACTGTATATAGTTCCTTGCATAATTCATGCAACCTTAAAATGCCTTTTTCAACTAAGGGCTTTTCAGGAAATGGCCCTTTGGGTTTGGAGTTATCCCCCTTAATAATCTTGAGAAAACAGCTAATGTAAGCACACTGAAGAAAGATTTAAACATAATTATTTTGTTCTGAGAAGTAGTGGAAAAAGCTGTGCTGATCCTGGGCAAAATTGCAGAAACTCATCTGGATAGATAATATGTTGATATCTACATTTTACTATTTACAGATTCTATATTTAATTTAGGTATTATATTAAGAAATGTGGTTGTTGTTTGTCTAGCTGGTTGTACTATTTTGGTGTAATATTTGGGTTTGTATTAATTGATTATATCTAACATTGTTATGCATATTTTGAATTGATTTCCTGTATACCTCTTTTTAAATGAGAGAGAAAATAAGAACCATGCAGATCTTTAAATTCACTATAACAGGTTATGTTGCATAGTAGAAATGGCTAGGAATAGACAATCTCACTTGGAAGATCATAGAAAGTCAATGGATCCTGACACAATTTATTTATTAAAGGCTAATAAGATTCTTCAGGACAAAGTAATATCTCTGGAACCTCATTTTTACCAGTTCAGTTTATGTGAGATTGAAATTCTGTGAAAAGTGAGAAAAAATCAGCAGCAGGTTGTCTTTGTAGAACCTCAAGTGTCAATACAAAAATGTTGGCTTGTCTAAGTACACTCAGTTAGATATTGAGAGAGTTCTTTGTTTTGGTTTCTTTTTTTAAGATGAAAATACTTGGCCATTCATTAGAAAAAAATATATTGTATTTCAATAGCCAGATTAAAAAGTTTTCTACTATTTAATTAGTTTTTACCAGATTACAAAATGAAGTTTGACAGTGTATTGAGAAATACTGGTTAAGGAAAGAAACTTTATTATTTCATCAGGTTTCTAGCTGTCCTTTGAAAATATCAAACGGCACTTAAGAAGAATTTCATAATCCTGTAGAAATGGAAAAATAGAAGCTATGAGTTCTTAATCTGGACAAAAGATATCAGGGATGGAACAAAGTTCAGCTATTGTTGATAAGTGTCTGTAGATTTTATTTTTAAGGTCTTTGCTGATAAATTTGAACTTATCCTGATTTCTTATCCCCAGTTTTGAAGCAAATGAGAGAAAATCTACTTGAAGATTGGCGATAAATATGATTAAGGGCAGTGCAACTCCAAATCCCTGCTATATTTATTTGATCACATTTTTTTTAAAAAAAATTGTATTAAAACAAATTGTGGTAGATGCATCTGAGAGGATTTAATTATGCAAATCAAGATTATGATTATACTTGGGGTACCAGCCAACAGGCAGACCTTTACATTCACTATAACATTTTTTGTTACAGAAAGATGGATATTCTTTTACATGGAAATTATTATGCTATATAATCTCAACAATAAACTGGATATTGATAAACAATCCCTCATTAGTGTGGTTTAGAGAACAGTAAAATTAGCTTAATTGCAAATAAAAAACTTTTCCTGAAAAATACTATTACTCTTAAATCAGTGGCAATGATTGGTCTTTATTGAATTGCTCCTTATTAATTAAATTTTGTGGTTAAAATATGTATCTGAAAAAACAAGCTTTTAGCATAAGAAACAGTACAGAGCCATTACTATACAAATGTTTAGTGAAAAATGAGGAGACAATTTCAGGAAAAATGAATTTCAAGATATTCTGGGTATCAAAACACATCAATTAAATATATACTACAAAGCTCAAAGCTGAGAAAAAGGTTTCTTCTATATTTGCTTATATATAAAACTGAGATATTTATAGACACTTAAAAAAATCTTCATAATTAACTTTGTGAACTCTAAAGCTTCCTCCTTCTGTTATGTATTCAAGATGAGCAGTGATTAATATTTATATGTTACTTATATGAAAGGGTGTAGGTCTATACATATGTTGTATATAGTATGTTTTGCCCACATATAGATAGATAGATAGATAGATAGATAGATAGATAGATAGATAGATAGATAGATAGATAGATAGATAGATAGATAGATAGAAAGATAGAGATAATGTGGGCACAACGGCACACATTAAAAATGAAATTTAGTTGCTTGCTCTCAAAGTATACACATACATAACACACATTTAAACATACTATATACAACATATGTATAGACCTACACCCTTACATATAAGTAACATATAAATATTAATCACTGCTCATCTTGAATACATAACAGAAGGAGGAAGCTTTAGAGTTCACAAAGTTAATTATGAAGATTTTTTTAAGTGTCTATAAATATCTCAGTTTTATATATAAGCAAATATAGAAGAAACCTTTTTCTCAGCTTTGAGCTTTGTATATCTATCTATCTATCTATCTATCTATCTATCTATCTATCTATCTATCTATCTATCTATCTATCTATCTATCTATCATATATCTATAATCTGTGTACCTACGGCTTTATTTTGACAGAAAGAACTTTCACATTATGTACAAGTCTCTTTTTGAAACAATCTGTGAAGTTATTTCATGAAAGGACCATTTTTCTAAATGTGAAAGGCTACATCAAGTTAAAAATACATGTATTTGATTGTTATTTTGCTGAAGTTCTAATATTTTTTCTGTGCATTATAAAGCAAGAGCAAAAAGATCTAATATAACAAGCAACAATTTTCTCAGATGAAGGGTCAACATACTAAGACATTTCAAGATATATTGTTGTCTTTAGATTCAATACACATTTCATGTAGTAGCCCTTGGATACCCAGTGTGATTCTTGGCAAATTCCAATGTATCCAACACTTCGTGATCTTGTCAATATTTATACTTGTATAGATTTTATTTTAAATATTTCAATTAAAAACCAATTAAACTAGATGCCAGTATGCTGTGAAGAGGTATGGTGAAAAACCATTTGCATATTTTTTTTGCTTATATTATCCTACGATTTATCTCTTCTTTTCAAAAATCTACATAATTTCTTCTAAAAAGGAATAGCCAGATGTCATCTATAAATCTGTGCATGCTATAAAACAAAGCAATAATCTTATATATTACTTATTCATTTTCAAGAATGTTTCTCTATCCCTCACTGACTTAATAGATCTAAAATAATTTCCTAGAAAATAAAAATGGTGGTTGCCTCATCCTAGTGTTTTCTTCTGCCCAGAAAAAAAGCTAAATGAGAAAAAAATAACCTTTTTGCAGATCTAGGAGGGATGATATAGAAATGGTTGCTTTGTTATATATTAACTGAGCTGAAAAAGAATTTTCTGTATATCTCTGTGTCCTTTAGCGACCATCTGGATTTTGAAAATTCCAATACATGTGCACAGTGTTGTGGTATACCTACCAGTATTATGATACATCTACCAGTATTGGATACACCTACCATGGCAACCAATGTATCCATTGGCATCCAAACAGATGATGTAATCCCATTTAAGTTCAAAATTGTGAAGTCACATTCACAAAGGACAGCTATGTGTAATATATGGACACAAAATTATTTTATGAGAACAAAACTGAGTTTTTATCATGATGATGATGATGATCATCATCATTATTATTATTATTACTACTACTACTACTACTACCTTTTAAACACAATCACCAATAAAAGAAGCAGAAAACAAAACAATACACCAATTCTATGCATTTCATCCTGGAACATTTGAGCTACATTATCTGGGCTTTAGTACTCAATATTCCTGTTTGCTATCTCTGTGTCATTTGGATTTTTGCAGCACAAATCTGGTAGCCCTGTTGAAGACATACCTATACAGGTGAATCTGTGGTAGCCTTTAGATTGAAACAGTTTCAGTTCGTCGTGTGAAAAGGAACTGCCATTCGTCAAAAGCATGAGAAGAAGCACGAAAGTTAAGGAATGAACTTTCTTCCAATACATATTCTTTCTGAAGGAATAAAGATGAAAAATTACAAGGGATTAGAAGCAAAATCAGGAATAAGAAATAACTGAGATTCTTAGGTCAGCATCCCCAGAGGATCTGAAAATATTTGGACCATATCATTATATTCAGCTGCATGACCAAAGTAAGGTCAATGGGAATTGCCAGTCAAAATATCTAGAACAGACTTTCCTAGTTGCTGTCCAGATTGCGGAGTTCAGCTCTTCCACTGACTTCATCATTACTGAAATTTTTGACAGCTCAGTTTCATATGTAGAGAACAATATAGACTAGCTGGGAAAAACACATCTAGATAAACTTTATTTGAAAAATGCATACAGTGAATTCTCATAAATTTCCTTTTCTACAAAACAACTTTGATGGGACAGGCAGCAAAGGCTGTAAGGAGCTCCTCCAAAAGCAAAAGCCTTCTTTTATTTTATTTTACTTTTATTTTAACTTTTTAACCCTTTTTAACATTGCATTTTTAATCTACCCACTTTTAACCTATTTTAACTTACTTTTAACTTTTTTAACTACTGGAGAGGCCACCATTTGTTTACCTACATTTTAACAATTCTACAAGCCAGGATTACTAAGAATGGGGAAAAGGAGAAAGAGACAGCACTCTACAGCAGAGAGTTCATCCAAGCCACTGAAGCAGCAGAAAATGGAAGATTACACTGCAAATAGACAGTCTGTTCCAATAAGTAATTCATCTGCAGTCGCCTTATCAGATAAATTTAATTTATGTGACTCATTGGAATGGGACTTACAAACCGAACTGGAAAGCAAACAGCACGTAGAATTGTCCTCCTTCTCGGAGAATTGCTCCCCTTCTTGGAACTCAGCAGCAGCCCTCTTTGCACAGGAGGAAGATGTAATAAATTTAAAGGGGGAAAATGTGACAGATTTCCTCTCTAGACAATGTTTGCTTACGGCTCAAACTGTTAACTCAATATATGAACTCTTATCAACCATCATAAATAAGGTTGACTGCTTGAAATAATCTTTTGTAAAGTTTGTTAGGAGCCAGCCAAATACTGCAGAAGGACATGGGAGGACAACCACAGATAGACATGGGATGGCTAATTCAGAAAATGAAACTAGAGAAGGGCCTTGTCTTCCTTCCATTAAAGAAAAATGTTTAAGTATGAAATAGATTTTAAACCACACAAGCATCTTTTGTATTAAAATTGACACAATCACCTTCCCCCCCCCAAACCTTAAAATGGATTTAAAATAAGAAGGGGAAAACCACTTGACTTGATTCACAAGCTTGTTGTTTAACATTGTCTAGTGACCTGGTTGAAATAATTGCTGATTTATTCCTGCCCAACTTTGAATCATTTGATGGAGGTAGCTCTTGACAGTATAAAAAGCTGTATCTGAAGAAAAAATATTCTGAATGAAACTATTTAATGCCTTTTTTTCTTTTTCAGTATGCAACCACCTGATTATTTTTATCATTCATGCAATGGGAACATCCTTTTTAACCTGCAAATTTCCCATTAGGATAGATGTATTTCAATCATTTGATAGTAATTTTAAAACCCCAAAACAATTACTAGAAAATAGAAAAACCATCCAAACACTCTTTGTTGTTGTAAATCTCAAAATCAAGTCTTTATAGCAGTGATGATAACAGAAAAAAATGGCTTTCATTCTGACAGCCGGCTAGAAAATGCCAAATTGATTCCATTAGTTTAAATTAACACCCCCAACCTAAATTTCTAAACCTATATGACAAGATGTAAAACTGTACTTTCTCAAATCTTTAGATGTGTTTTCCAAGACATCCTCAGATTTTATTTAATATGATAGGTGATGAAGTTGATCATATATTTAATTAAATAATAATAATATTATCCATACTTCATATTAATAATATATCCTAGCTTCTGGACTGCACACTAATTCAAATTTTAATACAGCCCAGACAAACCTGTTGTATTCTAAGCCATGTTTGAATGGTTCAAGATACAGTCTTCATGCTGCCATAGAATGATGTTCTCCTTTATCATAAAGTCATTCTTTTACTTTCCAAAGCTAAATTCTCTATAGGAATGGGGGGCATGGGGGGCAGGGCTGGTCCAGTCCAAATCTAGTTTACATATAAACAATCATAAGATAAAAGAGTTCCAAGGCTTATCCAATAATTGTGCAGCACATTGGACAGATAAACAAGGAATGAAATCTCAACTTTATGAAAGACACCTACATTTTTATTTCAATAACCGAAGTTAATTGACTGATTGACAAAATGAGCTATTGGTTAGGAATAGTTCAACAGAATTTTACTCTGTGTCCCACAAAAAGCACATATTATACCAGAATTACAGTGAAATCAAAACTGAACACATGTTGGAAAGGAGCCATAAAAGCACATAATACAGCTATTTGTACTTCACTAGAACAATATAATTCATTGTTGGGAAAAGTTGGATTTGAGAGATCTGTATTCTTTACTGATTGCTGAGGATAAAAACGCTACTCATCTTCCTGTTTATTTGGAGTGGCAACTTAAAACACTTCAGATACTGCTGGTCTTTTGTCATCCGCCAAACTTCCTTGAGCTGCTGGGAGTTGAAAATCAGAAGAATCTGTTGCAAGTTGTCTAGAATCCATGTTTACTATATCATACAATTTCAGTGCTTTTTATCTTTCCTAACCCTGAATCTGGATAACAAACAATCTATGAATCCTGAAAACCAACATTCCATGCTGCAGAACTTACTTTCAAGGATAAATTGTCAGCCTAATGAAGTTATTCGACAATACAAATCCAGCCCACTACATCAAATAGAAAAAAGTAGTGCTGGGAGTGGGGTTTCAGGCAAAAGCCCCTATAACTTTCTATAAAATCTGCTAGAAGACAACTGATGAAGCTTTTCACATTACTGCATCTTTATACCAAACCAAATCATAGCAAAAACCCATCAACAAATCAGGAGACAACTCCCATGCTAAGTAAAGACATTGAGTCTTACCAGTAATTTTGATCACTCAGCACAAGGAATGTATTTTGTGAGGACAGAGCTTCTTTCAAAGAAACGGACTTCTGTGATGGTTTTCCTCTTCCTGTTTTCTTAACAACTGTGGCTGATTAATATGCAGGCGGGACTATATTTGCTCATAAACTTTATATAACTGAAACTAAAATGTGAAGGAAAAGAAGATATCTGCTCTCCAAAAACTATTACTTTATCACAAAGCAGATGCATTTTTAAAGCTTGCCTTACACTTTTTCCTTCTATTATCAAGAGAATAATGTGTATTTAGAGAGATAGCTATGTATAGAAATACAAAACATTTATATTCCATCGTTGGCTTTCAGAATAATCTTCCATGTGTTTCTCAAATCTATTTGTCAAATCTAAATGACAAATTTAGCTGATAAGCAAAAGAGTTCTGAAGCTTAAGGGGAAATGCAAATCCTAAAAATAGCAGTGAGCCCTCTGCCAAATCAAATTATGTTGCAGCTGGTGCTTTAGGAGAATATCACCCCAAATTTCTGTTTTTTAAGTATTAGTTAATAGAGGCAGTAAATGTCATAGCTCAGATTACTTGTTCTGATGGTGGGGGAGGGAGTTCTATGCTGTCTCTGGAAAAGACCCCAACTCCTGTTTCCCTACCATTACAGTGTCAGATTTAATTGAACAAAAGAATTCAAATGAAATAATCAGATTTTTCTTTTTTTTCTTTTTCTTTTTTTAAATATGAGAGATGGTTAAGTCAAGGATGGGTTGTTTGTTATTTTTGGTTATTGGACAAAAGAAGACAAGAAGTTACAGTTGCTTGAGTGATAGTTCTCCCTGCAAACACTCCCTGTTTTCTTAGCATTCCCATTTCAAAAATCTTCTGACAGAAGAACCAGGAGCTTGAATTGGAAACAGAAAATTTGGAGAAGATAAAGGCTGATCACATCTCACTTGAGATTGCCCAAATCTCTTATGTGTGGCATTGCCTTTTATACCTTGGAGCAATAACACCTTTCTTGTAGGATTTTCTCTGCTCAAGTTGCAGGAATAAATGTGGTAAGCAGGGCAGAGAATAGGTTTTATTTTGGTTTCTTGAATAAGATTATTTGGGTCCATTTTAAATTTGACAAAAAAAGAAAGTGAAGGAGCTGTTTCGTAAATATCTACATTCCCACCATTAGTGAAGAAAAACGAATTGTATTAGGGAATTGGGGTGAGGATGAAGAATTGGCATCTATTTCCAAAATCCTTTTCTTTCTCTGAAAGGCCCCAAAACTATAGAATTCTAAAGAAACTCAAAGGCTGTTTGATGGATTATCATATGGCAGACAAAGACATGCTCCTTTCCCTGGTTGTACCAGAGCAGCAACATAGTTAGTGCTGTGCTTGTTTTGTCAGCATTTCTTCTGCAATCTTGATGTAACAAATGCATATCTAACCCTGGAACTAATAGAAGGTGCAATTGAAGTCCTGTCAAGCTGTGAGGATATGTACGGGAACAACTGAGTCAGATTCAAACTCAAAAATACGAATTGTCTCTGCATTCAAAAGCCAACTGACTCAATGATATTTAATCTTTGGTTCTGGGACAAAGTGGTATATAATTGGAGGGAGGGGGATCCTTCTGTATCCACAACTCCTGTTTGAGAGGTAGGTTCCAATTATGATCAAGTGGACTTGCTTATTCTCTCATCTGTCGATCTACGCATATAAAAGAGGAGGGGGGAGTCCCTGAAGATTTTACTCTGCTAGTCATTGCCAACTGTAGGGGTTGGGCTCATCTCCATCTCAAAGCCATTGTTATTTGAAGACATTTCTGTTACCTTGAAGTGGTCCCTATTTATTTACTCGCTTTTGCATGCATTCGAACTGCTGGGTTGACAGGAGTGGGGATGAGAACAGGGGCACATTGTGTGGTGCTTGGGTCTCAAACTTGGCCTCCTAGTTTTCCAGCTAACAAGCCCAGCATCTTAATTGCTGAGCCATTACACCGCTCTATCTAAGCACAGAGGCCACTCCAACTGCAAATGATTCAGAATAGCCTGTAAGTCTGGTAAAGTTATTTTTCACTCTCTAGAAGATGAATTGTTGAATTGTTGACATCCTCCGCCATTTTTTAAAAAGGAAAAGTAGCTGCAGGAGTTCCAGCTCCTTCACAACCACAAAAACCTTAAAGCGTGAATGGACATATCAGGAACTATATTGTCAAAGGAAACTGGCTGAAGCAACTGAAAACACAAATTTGCTGACATAAAGTATGTCATTTAAAGCTCCCTCCCCCGTTGTGCATCAATGTGACCTTCCATTGCTCATAGGAAGAAGATAGGATGGTAAACACCCTCTCCAAAAAGTAGGGCTACTTTAATTGCAGGTAGACAGTAAGAAACAAACACTATAGTACAATACAACACAAAACACAATACAGTCACTTCTGGAAATCAAATCAAATCAAATGAAACTTTATTTGGTCATAGATCAGCAAGTAAAATACAAGAGTCACAATTAATTAAGATAAAATAATATATATATATAGTTATTCTAAAATACCTTAAAAGGGTTAGAGTTAATAGTACAGTGTACTGTGCAGACCGTAGAACAGTACTTGGCTGTCATCATGAAATTATAATCAGATTGATCTGATAATAATATCTTGAAATAAAACAAATTGGAATGACCAGGATATTTAGTAAAGAGTGGACATAATAATTCCTGGTGAGCTCTTGCATAGAGAAAGAAATACATGTCCCATCCATTCAATTATTCCTCCACTACATGGACAAAGTCTCCTTTTGAAGGGGATTATTGTGGTATAGCTATTGGGAGGACATTGAATCTGTCTAATGATAAGGACCTTCTGAATTTTGGGATTGTTATGCGACAGAGATATCTAGCTGATTGCAGAAGATGTGCAGAGTGGATCAAAAATGAGTTTCTGGGTAGAGCTGGACAGTTTGCTTGCAGTTCTAGATCAATGACCAATGACCAATGATGTCTTATTTAACAACTGCAGGTAAGCTCTTTAATGAATGAGCTGGAAATGAGGTCCTAAGTCTGTCATGGCCACATAATGTCTGACTTAAAGATTGTGTCATTTAGCAATGGAGTGGCCAGTCTCAATTATGGTTGTTAAGAGAGGACTATCTGTTTATGTATTTCTGCATCTAGTTAGCAGTTTCTAATAAGTTTTGATGGAAAAGCAATATAACTCAACTTTTTCCATAATAAGGGGCAAAGATACATATGTTCACATTTTACCCAGAGTTATGAAGAGCCAGTAAAATTTCTGATCTGGTTTGCTCTTGAACCTTTCCATTTTATTCTGCTAAAATTAATTTGTCATAGTATGGGGATAAGGACTTTTACCTACAAATGGCAATAATGGAAGATATGAGGCAGAATCTTTACATTCCTACATGCAGCTGTGTACTTTGTGCCTCTAGGGAATCCCAATCAACTATACAGTTTATATGAAGCAATCCTCAGTGATGGTGAACTCAGAATTTCATTTTTCTTGCAGAAGTCAATACAGCAAAATCAATGCAAAATTGTATCTACAAAGAAGAGGGTATTCAAATAGCATTCATCTCTGAAGGTCTCTTGTTCTAACACAAAGACTCTGCAAAAATATAGTTCTTGATGGCATAATTAATTCATACACACTTAAGCTTTTATACGCTGCAGGATATCTAACCAGTAGACTGACTGGAATTTTCATCGCTTTCCTCTGAATCTTTTCAACTGAGTTAACTAACCAAGTCAATATGAATAGCAAATTACAGTGTATTATGATACTAATTGAGAAGTACATATTAATTTTCAAATTGTTTAGCTAATTATTACATCTTGTTGAATGCCTCTGAATAAGTATTCTAGTCAAAAGATTTTTTTCACGTGTAAATGTCCCATGGAGTTGGTAAATATAGCTTTTGTAGGAACATAGTTGAACGAAGAAAATTTGTTCTTCTGCTTCAAAATCAGTTTGATCTATCCCCATCTATATTAATTTTAAAGAAGAATAGTTTCCTTTTTAAAACACACAATTTTTTAACATGGAGTCTGAGCAGTAACTATACAAATATAATAAAAAAGCTCAGCAAGATATAGATTATGATTTCCCTTTCCATTTTTATCCAACATAAATATCATGCTTGGATCATTTAAAGATGAGGGCTTTGTAAAATCAAGTACCTAAATAGCTACTTTGCCAATTTTGGTGATCTTGAACAAGGCCAAATCACTGACCCATGGTTTAAGTTTTATAAATGGGCTTTTTAATGAAAAAGCAGGGCTTTTTTTCCTCACAGAACGCCCAGAACAGAGTTCTGGCACCTTTTTTGGATGGAACCTTGTAGGGTAGGCAAGGCGGGTTGTATGACATGTGTGAGTTCTGGCACCTTTTTTTTTTTTTTTTTTAAGAAAAAAAGCACTGTGAAAAAGTATTTGTTAGCTTTAAAGGTTAACCTATTGTGATGACTACAGGTGGTTCTTTTTAACAATCCTAATTGGAACCAGAATTGCCATCACTAAGTATAGTGATTGTTAGACAAAACATCACATGACTGCATTGTAATAACAATTCCAGTCACTCTGGTTGTGATTATTAGATGAGGATCTCCCTATCATTCAGTGAGGACTTCACATTTTTCCTTCTGTGCCATGCTGAACTCTATTTCAATTTCCTCCACCACATATCTATGGCCCCCATCTCAGTCTTTTTGGGCACTCTACTCTGCTGCCGCCTACATCTGCACTCCCTCCCCCAGCCAGCCCCAGCTAATCTTCACTGTCTTCCTCCTCCTTTTGGTGATAAAGCTGGCTGGGCAAAGCAGACAGGAAGGCCTCATGAAGCCTTATAAAAGACCAGTAGCTACTTTGGCCAAGTGAAGGGGAAGAAAACAGATAGAGTAGGGGTGTCAAACTGTTGTCCCATGGGCCGGATGTGTCACACAGAAGCCGCGCCCACCCCAGCTCTGGCAAGGGAAAAAAGTCGCAATACGTCATGACACGTCACGTGATGTGGCGAGTATGACATCCCTGAGATAGAGTAAGTGCAGTGACAGTGGCAATGAAAAATTGGTGCCTCTGTAGGCATAGATATTCCTCAGTCAGGAATTAAACTGAAAATTATTAAACTGTAATACATCAGAAGCCATGCTATGGAAAAAAGTGGGAAAAATTTTATAATCAATTTTACTTCCTTTGGAGTGTGCACTCCGTATAGATTTGCCAGAATCTATACGACAGAATCCAAACACCCAAGCAAGAAGAGTCTGGGACCTTGGAGTGTAAAGAATGAGAAAAATGATTTCCTTATGTTTGCATTTGTTGTAAATATATAGATACATCATAATCACACATAATACAAAGTCCATTGCAAGCTTTCCACTAGGGTGAAAAATTAATTATTTGTGCAATGATATCATTCATTTCTGTAATCCCTGACACTTCAGTTATGACTGATGATTGGAAGAAATAAATATCAAGACTTCAGAGATTGAAGTAACTTTTATATAAAATCCATCATCTCTTGGTTAAAAAATCTAGCTTTATTTTTAGTTCTAGTGTTCCAAAGGAGGTGTTCTCCAAGAACACTGTAATTTAATTTCCTTTCATGTAACTGTGAGTTTATAAAATCCACCTATGAAATTAAGCCGATTAACAGATTCTTCAGCCTAGAGTTGATCACTTGAGAAAAGCTTTAATTACCATACCAGAGAAGGAGAGAAGAGAGAGCAGATAAGAGAAGACAAGAAAAGAAAAGGCAAGAGAAGAGAAGCACACATTAAATCATCAACTAATTTTCATTTGTCTGCAACACCTTTGAAGTTATGTTGGACATCTGCCAAAGGTACCTATGACCCAGTTCTGAAATTCCAGTGGCTGTGCCCCCATATTCACATGACTACATTTCTGGCATTCAGCAACCAGGCCATACTTATGGCCATTTACAGCATCACAAGATCATGTGACCACAATTTACAATGTTTTTGCTGAAAATCGGCATTTACTTCTGATTTC